GGGTGCAGGGGGGAAAAGGGGGTGCAGGGAGCACCCCGCGCCCCCCATCCCCGCCCCAGCACCCGTAGGAAGGAAAAATCCTTTAAAAACGGGTTAAAAACAGAAAAAGCGGCAGTTTGGGGAGCAGAGGCGTCCCCGTCTCCACCCCACTGCACCCCAAAATGCAGCTGGGCCCCCTCCCACCCAAGGGGCCCCCCCCTCACGCAAAGGCCAGCAGCACCCATGGGTGACGCATCGGGGCGCCCAGCCGTGGCCAGGCAGTGCCTGGTGCGGGGGGGTCCCTGCTGCACCCCGAAATTGGACGAAGGGCTGGGGCTGCAGGCGGGGGTTGCTGCACCCTGCGGTGCAAGGGGCCGGCAGCACCCCGGGGTGCTGTGCTCAGCGAGGAGCTCTGCACCCCGAGGGTTGCGCACCCCAGGGTGCTGTGCGTGCAGAAGCACCCTGCACCCCGAGGCATCGCGCACCCTAAAAATGCCACGCCAACGGAGGCGGCGTGCGCCCCAAAGCGTTGTGCACCCCGCGGGGTCGTGTGCTTTGCGGCGGTGGGCGCCCTGAAACGGCGCGCGGCCCCGCGGGGTTCTGCAGCGGGAGGCGGGGTGCACCCCAAATTGCCGTGCGCCCCAGAGGGTTGTGCACCCCCGAAGGGGTTTGCACCCCAACACGCAGTGCACCTCGGCGCGCCGTGCCCCCCAAAGGGCTGCGCGCACCCCGCCGTGCCCTGCGCCCCGAGGCGTTGTGCGTGCCCAGGTGCTGTGCACCCCAAGGGGTCCCGCACCCCGAAAGGCTGAGCCCCCAAGGGTCCCCCCCCCCCTCCTCCTGGGGCAGGGGGTGCAGATGGGGACCCCTCCCCTGCCCAAGCCCACCCTGCGCAGCGCTGGACACCGGCCCTCGGGATGGGGAAACTGAGGCACGCAGCAGCCCCATCCCTGCTTGAGGACGGAGCCTTCATCCTCCTCCTCCTCCTCCCTGGCCCAGCGGGGATGCTGGGGGGCACAGGGCCC